ACTTGCGTCTTAGTAAAGCAATCAAGGAAATAGAACAGATAAATGTGTTAGTCCCATGTCCCACGAAGAGAACGCGTTGATTTTTTGATATCCAGATAAACGCCGATAAGTGTTATATATTTGTCCGGTGAAGAGAAATTTGATACTTAGCACTCATGTCGTAGAACTATTTTGTGTAAAAAACAGCTATTTTTAACTAACGACCCTAACTTGCAACTCTCAACGTAATCTCCGTGATTATCTTATTACATTGCGTAACTATTACTATTATTTTATTGCTACATTAAGATGCAATTAATATAATCATTATTTCATGTTCACTAGTAAACAATAATTAATAATTCATTCTATATTCATTTAATTAATAATAGACGTTTTTTTTTGTAGATAAACAAGGTGATTTTTATAATAATAAAATGTTATTATCAGTTATATATAGTCTAAAGGACGTCAGTGCGCTTTTTAATATTAAAAAAGGTGTAATGTAAAAATCTAAAATAAATTGAAAAATTTTCGACTCGGGCAGGAAAATTCAAAATTTTTTTTTATTTATTTAAATTATTTAAATCATATAGTGTCTTCATGTATATGGAAAAAATAATAAAGTTTTCAAAGATTAAAAAAGGTGGTTTTTATATGTTCAAATATAACCTAGACGAATAAATTGTGTAAGGCCATCGTTCAGCATATCATTGTCTTTCGGGCTGTTCGGTCGATGTGAGCGAGAACCTCTCCTCGACGTTTCGCCATCACGTGTGGACAGCATCATCAGGAGATGTTAACTCTTTGATTGCTCGAAGATTCTTTATCTATTTTTTTTGCATTGTACCTTATTTCACGTTTGTAGACGAGTAATTGTACCTTTGCGTCCTTCTTTCGAAAATATTTAATCAACACTAACATTATAAAGCCTTCTTGAACGCGGTAATGTCAGGAACTAATGGTTCGAATTGAAATTATTTTTATGTCTGAGGCCTTCCTCTATAAATGCTCTAACATTTATAGAGGAAGGCCTCAGGCCATACTATATGGCGCTGCGATCAATAGGAGTGAAGAAACAATGGAATTGTGGAACAGTCCAAGATACCCAAAAAATATGTATAAAAGAATGATTTCTCTGTAAATGACCTAAAAATGTTTACGAAAGTTTATGTCCATCATTTAAGATGAATTTACAAAAACCGTTTTTATGGAATCAAATTGTCGTCAAAATACTGTAAAATAATGTTAGCCAGGTGATCTAAACGGTTAATTCGTTCTAATTTTAACTATATTCGTGTTTTATTATATCGATAAAATGGTGACGATTCACCTCAAGATTACGAGTTAACCGTTCAAAGGTACTCAAATATATACATACACGTGTAGAAAATACCTTATCTCACGACCATATCCGTATAACATTTGCACAAACATAGAAATCCAAGGCCCGTGTTATTATACCGTCCAAAACAGGAATAATAACTTTTACTTTTGTTGCAAAAGCAGTCCTTACTTCCCACTTGAAACACGAGGAACGACTTTTGTCTCTTTCTTGCATTTAATGTTGTTTATAGTCTTCTCTTTCTTATATTTTGATACGTCATCATGTCAGTTATGTACGCCAGTCATCATATATAACAAAGTACAATAAAATTCAGAAAAATGATTATTTTCTTAACGTTTTGGTAAGTTAAATAATATGGACACTTAAATACTGTTTACGCGAGTAATACACATTTAAATAAAACGCTTTAAAACGCGATATATTAGTTAAACTTATTTGAAAATGATTTTTTACTTCGTCCCGACGTTTCCCCGTGACCACGGCTGCTGCAAAGCATCCAAAACGTCGGGCCGAAGTTAAAAATAATTTTCAAATAAGTTTAACTAATATATCGCGTTTTAAACCGTTAAAGTGTTTTATTTTAAAATATGGATACTTTATTAAGACGAAATATACAATTAACTAAAAAATAAAAGAAGGTAGGACGACATAAAAGACAAAACTGAGTCGAAGCGTTCGGAGAAGGCTTTTGCCCCAAAATGGACCAAATGTCAAATCTAATACGCTCTAAATTAATATTATACAATTAAGGTAATAAACATTTTTTTATTAAAAATAACATACTGCAATTATAAAAAAATAGTTCCTATTTATGTCACTTTGGAGTTGAAATTTTCATAAAAGTAAACTTAATATCATAAATTGTCTGTAAAAAGGCTTAAATAATATTTCATAAATAATAATACATTTAAAAAAATAATAATTCTATAAGAATGCGTTTAAAAAACAATAAAAGATAAACATTTTCCGATTGTACATACACCAATAGAATGTTCAGTTAATATAAATGTCAGTATAGTAAGAATTGTACGGCATCTGAATACACAATAATTATTATTAACGATTCTCTAGCTTTACAAAGTATTATTTAATCTGACATAAGGCCCTAGGGCTCGCCTTGACTAGTTTTAGTGAAGGTACGAACCTTCACAGACAATCCCCTAGAACCTTCGAAAAAACCTTAATGCTTAATTGCTTACGGAAGATATATTACAGATGCAATATTTGAACGAGTTAACACAATCATTTATTTAAGTTTCGACATTACCTTACACAATATCTCTACATAACTTAATTAAGTTACATGTACGCAATGCATCCATAAGACTATAAGAACAATTTAAAAGGTATTTCTCGTTACGTTTTTCTATGATTCTACAAAATATTGGTAGGTATTAAATATATGAAATCCACAAATGGAAAAACCGTCAAAATCTAATCGCGTTTCAATTTCAGTCGATGGATTTCCGAATAATCATAGCGTAATTAGGTCGACGGCGCGTCTTGTTTAGATGTTTTGGCTGGGATATTTCATTTGAACCACTTTTTGTCTGTCCCCCTCTATCATAAAAAATAGACTGCAATTTGCTCTGTGAAAACAAATTTATAAAAATTGCAGGCATCTGCATACTCTATCCCTTAAATTTAAAACTCCCAACAACTTTGGCAAACTAATTTTAAATGTAGTTTTAAGAACTACTGATGGGGCTGTAGTGGTGATCATACTTTTGTGCTCTGTCCAAAATTATTATTATTATCCTGGTCCTATGTTATAAGAAAGTGCAATATATAATTATTCGTATATAACCTATTTATGTAAGTCTTTTAAAGTATTTCCTACTAAGATTTCAAGTATTTGAATATGAACGACTATAAAATCGATACTTCGCGAACTCTAAGCCTCGCTGTGCGCACCACGCTTTGCCTATCAATATCCATGGCTACATATTAACTTAGATAAGTATGCATGTCATGTCAAGACATGCTTAAGGAGTATTGATTGGCGGACCCGCATATTTATCAATTCACTGAGTAAACATCGAATAGGCGACAGTGTAACGTGTTGATAAGAGGAATTTGTACAACTCGCGACGAGATAGGAAATACCAATAAACGAGTCTAAATCGGATATGGATATAACTATGTTATTACATAATATGTTATGATTAAAATGAACGTAACAGCTTATTATATAGAATAATGTTTACGAGCGTGTAAACGTTTAAATAAAACGATTTAAAACGCGATATTTATTAGTGAGCATTATTTGAACTATAGCAAGACGTCTTCCCGTGACCACGGCTGCTGCAATCATCCAAAACGTAGGGTCGTAGTTAAAATAATGTTAAAATAAGTTTAACTACGTTATGTCGCGTTTTAAATTAAATATAATTAGAAACTGTAGTTTGTGGTACCTACTCATTATATGTGGCTACCAGGACATTAAATATTATTAAAAAAAAAATTATATGTCGCACAAAAAATATTAATTAAAGCCCAATTCTTTAAAGGACAGATAAGCGTGAGATTCACTCGATGGTTGGTGAAACACTCCACCCATACAACATTTAAGCAAGCTGCCCTATTATCCTATTTTGACTTTGGATATTCTGAAATCTACAGACTGTAACTGAAACGCGATAAAACCTGACTTTCATCTGTGGACGATGGTTCGTGATCCGGACGGAATCGATATTCCTACCACGCATTTAATTTCCAGACGAAGACAACATGTTTTAGAAAAATTATAAATTGATTAGAAACATGTTGGAGCCGGTGGGGATCGAATCCACGACCTGCTGATTACATATATTGCTAGCATTACCACCAACGAGCCCGTCCAATTAGTTGTATCTTTTATCATTCGTAATAGATACACATATGTTTAGGAGTTGTTAAAAGAGTCTTATTTTCACACTTAGGCATATTTCGAAAGTTTCCTCCGAATCCAGGGTAGGTATCTGAATATGAAAATCGACGTTGACGCTTACAAATGACGGTCAGAATGTATTCAGTATTGGCTATATGCGACGCAATTGTCTTCTACATTTCAAATGAGTAACGGCCGTGTTACATTCATTTCGTAGCCATACGTTGCGAAAACAAAACACAATCGCTAGGAATTCAAAATGTAACGATGAGGGACTGTGAAGTGAGGCTGCTAGAGGCATAGTGGCCTAATAACAAAAATTTGTAGTGCTCTTGTAGATTAACATTTTTAGATAATAAAAATATAAATCGTAAGTGATAAAATTGCAGTAAGGCCACTCTGCCTCTAGCGGCCTCAATTAGACTTTTCATCTAGATCATCTAAAGAGGAATCATTCCATCATACATATATTTTGGTTTCTTGAACCATTTTCTCAGCTTTAAAGATGATAATTTTTTCCCAGTTTTTCCACATATTCCCTGTTTTGTCACTCCTACTTTTCGCCGCGTTGTAAACATCACAACCTTAAGCCATCCTCATCTAAATGGTCTATCCTACAGTTTCTCGGAATAGCGCCCGTTGCCCCAACAAAAAACAAACACTCCAGCAATCATTAATTATTTAACTTTTAATTAAATACGATTACAATACGACCTCTATAATTTTGATACCCATTATTAGTAGTTTATATCACGGATAAACCAAGCTGAAATCTATTACGAAACTAATCCCCATTATATAAGGATGAGTAAGTCAGAGGCGACAGTGGCTATCCGTCGCCCATACGCAAGCAGCAGGCAGCAGTCCAAGGTCAATTGCTCCATCGCTTCCTCGTTGGCAAGCTTAAGCAACCACCTCTCACCTGAATTAGGTTCCCGCTTACCACACGCCACATACAAGCAATTGAAATTGTCAATAAAAGTAGAAAAAAAAACACTTACTCAACACGTAATTAAAGGTAAATGTGCTTTCAACGGTTTGCTTGCTTTTTTGCTTTTATTTTATCGTACTTTTTCTTCGCACACATGTGCAATAGACTAAGTTATGTTCGAGTAAATCTTGATGATAAAATCGAAAATAGATTACAAATTTACGATTCGGGCAGGACTTGAACCGGCATCTTTAGCGTTCCGTGCTGTTGCTCTAACCAATTGAACTGCTGAGTCCTAGAAGTCTCGTCGGATTTTTTTACCTATTGATACATGCACCTCCCGCGCACCTTTAAAGATTTCAAATAAAATTTATTGAAAATCAATACAAATTTAATTAGTATGTCTCTCTTTTAGTTGGCATGATGTATTAGTATGATCTCGTTCCCCCGTATTGGGCAAGGGCCGAACTCTTAACCGAGTAAGTTTCAGCCAAGATGGCAGAGAAGTTCTCTGTCAGATTGAAACAATTTATTTTTTCCCCGGGACCCGAACCCAGGATCTCTGGCGCTTAATAAAATGCTACGCAGCACGTTTAACTATATAATAACAAAGGCGGTTTTTCAAAGTCGTATACTAATAATATACTAAACTACGTTAAAAAACCTCGAGGGGGGGAGGGGGTAATAAGCGAACCCGACCATCCTCCTCCCTCCTCTACATAACGATCACAGATTCTCAGTCAAGAGAAATATTTAGAGAAAAAGTATTTTTGGAAATATATGTTAATAACTTTCCTTTATTTACTTCTTCCGGTTAAAATAGTACTGGTGATAAAGAGCTAATCAAGATCAAGAAGAAACTTAAATAGGTATTTAATTCTAATTGATGTTTAATTATCAAGAAGTCTTTCTAAAATAAAATAATATAATATTAAAGTATATAATACAATAACGGTTTACGTATCGCGAGAATAAACCAAACATTTGTTATTGTTTTTAATGATATCTTGTTATAGCTACGAAATGTAATACGATCCCATACTAAACCACTTCTTCCGTTAAGCCCAAAACCAGTAATTGAATGGTTCGTTCAGAATAATTTGAAGCTGATATGTTAATCGTATAATAAAATAAATTAACATAAACAGTAGAACATAAGCCGGGCACGATTATCAGTACCGCATTGCAATTTGACTTTCAAGGTTCTTACATAGAGTAGTGAATTACGCAGATGTCTCTGCTGAAATATTTTATAATTTTCTGCCTAATACAAGAGTATTGTATCTATTCTTTTATGCTATTTTTAGTCTATGGTATCATAAGTATAGACTATAGATTTAGCTTTTGCAACTCCGTAAACGAATATGCAGGATGTCCCACAGCGTACGGCTATCCCACTTAAAAGGCAAGGAAGAAATGAGTATGAGATGAATTTTAGCGTAGTTTTTTTTCTCTTTTAGTAGCATCGATTCCAGTCCCCATGGAATATATTGAAACATTTATGGATTTAAATAAAACACTTTAACGGTTTAAAACGCGATATATTTTAGTTAAACTTGTTTGAAAATTATTTTGCCACGGCTGCTGCAAAGCAATCGGGCCGTAGTTAAAAATAATTTTCACACTAGTTTAATTAAAATACAGTGTAAACTCCATGTAACGTCACTCTATTTAACGACAAACTCTCTTAAGCGTCGAAATTAATTGGCTTTGGTTGGTTTAGCTTGTTTTTCATACAATGTTTCTTCTCTCCATTTAACGACAACTCTCTATAACGCCATAAAATGCACAGTCCCTTCAGTGTCGCTATATAGAGTTTACACTGTATATCGCCTTTTAAACCGTTAAAGTGTTTCATTTAAATGTGTAGTACTTGCGTAAGCTACAGACACGTATTTTTGTCAATTAAATTACATTCATAAGTAATTTAATTGTACTGTCTATAGTTTACGCGAGTAGTACACATTTAAATAAAACACTTTAACGGTTTAAAACGCGATATATTAGTTAAACTTATTTGAAACTAACTTCTTATTAACTTCGGCTCGACGTTTCGGATGCTTTGCAGCAGCCGTGGTCACGGGGAGTCTCTTTGTTACCGTCAAAGTGTTTTATTTTAATTTAATTGTAAAAAAAAAACAATATTCTATTTTAGTAGTGTTAAGTATAAATAAAACATTTGTAACAGTTGACTTGTTATTGCTATTGGGACCGGGGGTAATTTGTACTACTCATGTAAACTACAGACGAATGGGAGAATTAACGATTTTTTGTAACACTAATATCTATGTTATAGCAAGCAAAGTACACATCTTAAGCTTGTAGGTACTCTTTAATTTGCTTATCTACGTCTTACACTGACTACACTCCACTGAACCACACCACAACAACGAGATAGAATTCTATATTCAGTGGGCATTGTGAAACTCGAACAAGAACTCGTAAATGATGTTTTAAGTCTTGTAGCTTTTGCGGTTCCATCATACTTCGAACAATAATAAAATTCTTTAAGGTCCTGGTCGACGAACTCTTTAATGTACGCGATTGATGTGTTGTTAAAACAAAAGAAGCTAGAAATCCTAGCAGATGGACTATACTAATATTATGAAGCTGAAGAGTTGTTCGTTCGATTGTTGGAACGAGCTAATCTCAGAAACGACTGCTTTTTACTTACCAACTTTTTACGCATACGAAGTCGTTGGCAAAGCTAGTTTTTTTATATTGAGTTGAACAATCAGTTTTTTATAATATTGTTTTAAATTGATTTTCTTTTATGCGTGTCTATTATTTTGGCTATGCTTGTGACATACATCCTACATCCGCACTTCACATTATCACAGCGTAGCTTACGTTTATCAATACTTTAATTACCCTATAAGACCACTAAAATGTTATCATGCGTTTTAATTGTAGATGTGTCCTTGTCCTGACATTAAAAAAAATATAAAGTTTTAATACAAAGAGTGTTAACTATTTGCTCATACTAAAAGATAGTAATCTTAATTTTGAACTTAATATTGGAAAACGACGGACTGAAACCACAATGCGATTAACTTTCACGGCTTTTTCATCTAAGGACGGAGGTTCGTGACCCTGACGGAATTTCTATGTTCCTACCACTCATTTAATCCAGGTTTCCAAACGAAGTCCAGTATGTTTCAGAAAAAATATAAAAAGAACAATTAAACCATCAGCAGATGAAATAGCTGTCAAGTTTAATCGTGTTTTTATTCAATCTGTGGATTTCCTAATATCCAAAGCCGAAATAGATCGACAGCGCATTTTGTTATATCGCTGGGTTTTTGCACCATCAAATGTACCCCACGCTAGTCTGTCCTCCTCTCTCATAAAAACAAAACACAGCGCAGTAATCATTCTGACGAATGTAGATTAACCTCACGTCTAGACTTAAGCTTACCCGATGATAAATAATCTGCTTACTTTAGTCAGGAGCACATTATCACTTCTTGGTAACGCCTTGTGACACAATAAAACAGTTCGTGATATCAAAATATACTGTCTATAGTTTACGCGCGATATATTAGTAATACTTATTTGAAAATGATTTTTAATGTCGGGCCGAAGTTAAGTCATTTTCAAATAAGTTAACTAATATATCGCGTTTTAAACCGTTAAAGTGTTTTATTGAAAAGTTCGTGATACCTTTATACTTCTACTACGGGATACCCCCGTTCGACTCAGCACAATGACGCCTTATTTACCTCAATCAAGGGATGAATTTAAGTAAATTATGTGACATGATCAATTACTTAAACTCTATTTGAAACGGATACGTAGTTAGCACCAAAGTTGTTACATAAATGATTGCTACATTCTTAACGATAGAAATTTGGAAATATTTTCAATTGTCGGAATCTTATTATATAAGAATCCTTCAGCTTTTGGTGTCTACCTGAGCAATGGTCCACCAATCACTACACGTCACACGTCCTTCAAAAAATGATCTAACTAACACAAAACTAATATATCAATTAGAACCAGTAGTTCCTGCAATAAGCGCATTGAAACAAACAAACATTTCAGCTTTATAATATTAGATTAGTATAGGTGTAAGATATTTCCAATGTCACTTAAACAAAGGATTTAAATACAATGTACTTCATAATGCGAGGTGTGGGGTGCCGGATGTTTATTCATAACAAGCCGAAAATAGCATTGGATGCGATCCCAAATAAAATCCTTTTGTTTTAAATGCGGCCGTAAAACAGAAATAGGTTAGTATTTGCAACTCACCCCGCGTCGACCAAAATCTTACGATTAACAGACTAGTTTTAACAACTCAACTGTAGTTTGGAAGAATTATTACAAATAACTTTTTTACATATGAAAACGACGGTGTATAACGAGAATTATATTACTGCATTTGTATTAGACTACGACCGACTTCTTCTATAATGAGCTTTTCACAAATCTTCAATCAGTATTAAATCGTAGTTCACAACATTATTTGGACTAGAATATGAAAAAAAAAGTTATAAACTAATAATGTTCCACGTGTGTACTTAAAGAAATGTCTTGCGTTATTCATCTTCATATTATAGTAAAAAACTCCAGACTGAAGTAAAAGATCCGTATTTAAACAGTTATTTAAAAAGTCTAAAGTTAAAGTTTAATTTGAAAAAGTCAAGCCAGTTTGTAACTATCTAGTATTTTAATAGCACTGTGTATATATTTTTATTCAAGATATGTGTCACATAATAAGACAAGATAAATTAAACTTCGTGTACAACTCTGAAGTAGATAAAGACAGGTGCCAGAAAACCGGTAAAGTTTAACCGTAAATGGGCAGCGATTTATATAAAAAATATTCTTTCTGTAAGTTATCACTAGAGTTGGGTTGCACGTGGTTATGAACAGAAACCGAACATTCAGACGAAATTAATTTCGGCTTAAGTTATTTGAGTGTCGGGGTTTTTTTTTTTGTAATAATTGTATGAAGTGCACTTTATTTAAAGGTCCAAGCACGTAGTACGTACATACGCGAGTAATACACATTTAACACGAAATATAACGTGACCACGACGACTACAAAGCATCCGAAACGTGGAGCCATAGTAAGCATATATTGTAAAGGAGTTCACTGATATATTTGCTTTTTAAACAATTAAACACTTTCTATTTAAACATCACTAAGTATATAATACTCTTTTTACTGGTGACAATTTTTATTACATTTTACGAAAATACGAATTAGATTCGAAATTCGGTTAAAAGCGAAAATGAATTTCCACCCATCCCCTAGGTAAACTGTAAACATACCAATATCTTGCCCAGTAGCTAAGTAACAAACACCTACATTGTTTTATAAACTACTTTAGGAATAACTATTTATATACGTAGTTCACCTTTTCATATGCCACTTGGCTTAATCATTTCCGAAGAATTTATCCAAACGAGTTTTTCGTGTAATTAAGATTTTTACGGCTTGATTCATAAATATAGTCTATAATTAATTGAAGATGCTGCCATTTTTATCTGTGAATTATGTTATCCTTTTGTACAAATAAATGAATATTAATACTTTGTTTTTTTACGTCCCCAGCCACCTATAAAGCGACCCACCACTACAAATGTATCCAAAAAGGAGACCTGTCTTCAGCTGTGGGACATTAACTGGCTGAGTGGTGTTCCCCCCTCATACATACTTTTTATTTTTGTTTATTTGTATTTGGAATAAATATTTTCATTTGAAACAAATGAATAGGGAAATCCTAGTATCTAGTCACTTATAATTTATATGTAGTAGAGTTCACGAACTACAAGTAATCAACAAACACTATAACGTGTCGTCATGAAATAATCGCAGTCCGTGACTTAAAGATAAATCGCGTGATCTTTGCAATTACAATAAATGTGTTATTTGTGCTATATGTATATGACACTCTGAGTCATATCATAAGACGTGTTTCTTGGACATTTCTGGACTTTGGACCGGAGAAAGGATAGACTATAGATATAACGAATGATGTTCCAAACAAACATCATAGGTAAGAACAATGTGTGTTTATATATTTTATTCAGAATATTTCATTGTGTTAGACGAGAGATCGTCGGTTTGAACCCTGGGAAGTATGATCTTTGCTTAAGGTTTCCACAAAATACTATTTTTTATTGCACTTGTTAAACGTCGAGTTTTTGAGGCGTATACCCGAATTACATCTAAGATACAAAAACATAATCAAAATGCATCAGGAAAAGTATATAGTGTTGCCGTAATCTTTGTTAACAACTAAGATTAGGGCAACACTATTTATCTATAAAACACTATATATATGTAAAATATAAATAAAATAGTGTATTTATAATTTTCGTCAGTAGAACAAAAACTTAGTTAATGCTAATACATATATCAATCACGAAACCATTACCAAATTTACTGAGATCACCTCATCGATGAGATGATCCCTTTAATTGCTTCCTTGTTAATACTTGAACAAGCAAGAAGCTGTTTTAAGTAGTTTTTTACAAATAAATTACATAAGTCGTTGAAGTCGAACCCACGACTGTTCGATTGTTATTCGATCAATTTTACATTTTGCGCTAAGCTTTGAAACTTAAGCATATGGCAAGAGGAGGGCCGGGAAACCACAATCTTACTGTGGAAAGATGAGTTGGCTAACTCTAGAGTTGGTGTTTGGACTATAGAAGCTATTCTCCCAGTTTTTGATGATTGGCTTAATAGGCGATGGGGTACTTTGTCGTATCGGCTGACGCAAGGCCTAACAGGTCACGGCTGTTATGGTTCGTACCTTTACAAGGTGGTTCGAAGGGAACCATCCCCTATTTGTCATAGATGTGGGTGCCCTGAAGACACTCCCCAGCATACTTGGTTAGATTGCCCTGCATGGTGTCTTCAGCGGAGGACCATGTTTTCTATAATAGGCTTGGTCCAAACTGGTGGCAATACACCCACTCTCTCTACCCTTGTCAGAATTATGCTACAGGATGAAAGTAGATGGCGGGCTGTCAAAGACTTCTGTGAGGAGATATTTGCTATTAAAGAAAGTGATGAGCGGGCCCGAGAACTTGATCCTTTGGCCTCTGAAGTGAGAAGAAGAAGAGAACGACCTCGGCGTGTTTTGCGCTGACAGATTGGTCTCACACTACTGCGTTTGAAGGGCTAAAGGGTGGGTCGCACGTTTGCAATGCGGCAGGGCGCTTCTAAAATGAAGGTTTTGGACAAGGTCACAACCGTTACCAACCTTCATTTAACTGCGCACAATGACGAGCCCTTGGGGTTTTAGTGGGTGTGAGTCCCACACTCCCTACACCACCAGCCCTGGAGTAGGGGTGCATAATGCATTTCCCCAAGTTAAAAAAAAAAAAAAAAAAAGTAAGAAGTTGTTTTAAGTATTTTTTTTACAAATAAATTACATAAGTCGTTGAAATCGAACCCACGACTGTTCGATTGTTATTCGATCAATTTTACATTTTGCGCTAAGCTTTGAAACTTGCATTGATTTTTAAATTGCATTTTTTATAATATTCAAAAATATGTATTAATGTTATTTGTCTTATTTCAAAACATATTTTATGGGGGTGGTATTTAAATTAAATTATGGGTACTGTATGTTTTTTACGTAAAATTTTATTGCACTTTTCAAATATCCCAGTGGCGTTCAACATCACTTTAGTCTTGCAATAGTCGAATCTTAATAAATTCTAAATAATAGTCCAATATAACTTAACTAACTTTAAGTATACCTACTTCAAGCGTCATTGTAAATATATGTAATATGTCATGTATTGTACGTCTGATCGAATATCCGGGTCATGGAAAATAGAAGGAAAACCGATATATCTTTTCGTGTTATTACGTAGTAAATAGCAAAATATGTTCCAAGAAAGAATAACTGTTTATTCTTATATTACGTTTACTACAATAAAATAATTCCTATTTTTATATTTTCCCGTATGTCTCTTGTTTTTCAAGAGAGTTTTCTCGTCTAGATAGTCGTGCCTCGTGGGGTACGATCGTGAATCCCAGTTATCACCCCCAATCTAATGGTAGTCACTAAAGCCCACTAAAGCGGACTGATACAGCGTGATGTATTACATTTACAATTTAGTCGCCTCTGTAGATCATTTTTTATACGCATATCATAACTTTGTATTAAACACCAGACGGTGGTGTTAGACCGATTCCCAGGATAACAAAATAAGGCACACTGAATGTCTGTAATTAGTATTGATCACATAAACGGAAATAGTACCGTGTCTGCCTCACTTAGAGATACGGATTTCGAATGTAGCTTATTGGAAAGAACAAACTTAAAACTTTATCACTTTAATAATATCTCGAACGTATTAAAGTTTTATAAACGACACCCGCTGATATCCACGTTTAATAATATCGCTGTTTTAGTGTTAATAAAAAATAATGAAGGTATACATATTCATAACACATAAACTGTTTTTAAACAAAAGCCATTTTTTACGCAAATGCAGTATGCAATCAATATTAAATAAAAAATCAATAAGGATGCATGGATATGCAAGTAAGCAACTCTATCGCGCATAAATAACTAACTTAATATTAATGTAACTAAACAGCATTTAATTATTTGAGCTCACGGTTAGCTTTTCGTCGTGGATTCGATTCCCATTTACAGATTTATTATTATTCTCTTTACTATAAAGTACTACTACTACCTACTACTAGAGTAAGAACGTGCTTTAATTTCTGTGATTTTCAATGAATGATCATAGATATTTATTTATCTTACTAAGCCTTTTTTCTTATCTCCTGTACTTTTTTATCAAACATAGAGGAGGACAGACGTGGCATGGAGTTGATTCGATGGTAGGTGATATAAGGTGTATGGTTTAGATTCTATAGGCCCAGCCTAACGCTAAAAGTTACGCTGTCGACCTATTTTGGCTTTTGGATATTTGAAAATCCGCAGACTGAATTCGAAACGCGACTAATCTTCACGACTTTTTCATCTGTGGACGATAGTTCGTGAACTGGACGAAATTTTTACCCACTTAGGGTGGTAGGAATATAAAAAATCCTAACGAATATTCAGATCCAGAAACGTGTTGGACCTGGTGGGGATCCAACCCACGACCCGTTGATCATTAACCATACATTGCTACTATTAGACCAATGAGCCCGTCAAAAGGTTCAGGTTGTCTGGATACCGCTGTTTAGCGAGAAGGCCGCCTTTTATTTATAAGCTACGTAAGGTTTTCTCATTTGCTGTTTTGTGATATGTGTTATAAATAATGAAGCTTAATATTTTTTCATAATAAAGCTAATGAGTTCTTTACATAAGCCTGTTGACATTAACAGCATATTTGATTTAAATTTATGACAGAAAAGACCAAGAATATGTACAAAAATTATGTAACTGTGGTCGCTTCGATACATTTTTCCTCGTTCGACTAAAGATTATGTAGTCTGTGGTGCAAAAAACCGCCAACCTTAGCCATGAGTTGGATCAATCACCTATGAACCAAGCATTGAATCGGTCATGCAACATTATGAACGTGCATATCCAATATGCCTCATGGAAACATGTAATATATAATTACATATACAAAAAATGCATAGTTACGTCACGTCACGAAGTTGGATCACGAGCTTACTTAGCATAGATGTAGTGATTAGTTCGTTAATCTAGATTAGAATTTTCGATTTTATCTTTAATAACCTCTATGAATGCCCGCGAATTTTCACACAGGGGATTTTTATTAGACAACTTATTATTAAATACCGTCTGTAGTTTACGCGAGTAGTGCACATTTAAATAAAACACGTTGACGGTTTAAAACGCAATCTATATTAGTTAAAAATTATTTGGAAATTATTTTAACTACGGCCCATACTTTCGGATACTTTGCAGCAGCCGTGGTCACGGAGAGATTAAAGATTGATTCTGCAACGTCCGCCTGTTGTTAGTATAATTTCTAAAAAGGTTAACTAATATACATCGCATTTTAAACCGTCAAATTGTTTTGTTTAAACCTATTAATAATAACATAATTAATATATCGTGAATACGTTAAAGATACATTATTTTCTATACCTATACACAAATCCTTTCTATTTAATAGGTGTTGTAACGAACCATGAATGGTCTTTGAGATTATTGGATTGTTTTGTAGTTTTTTGCTAGAAATGACACAGATAGGTACTAATCAAACAAACAATTTTTACTGATTTATAACATTAGTAATAATAAAATAATAAATACTCTTAACTTTTTTCTTATATATTTTGTATTTCGCTGTTTATACTATATATTTAGTTGGTATTCTGTTCAACGAATTGAGCCAAATATGCCCACATGGCATCGCGTATGCTATTCACGATAAAATCTGGCTTAGACGTTTGACTGGTTACGTCTAGAATTCGTTATTTCTGGTAAAACCGTGAACTAGCTTTGGGAGTATTATATAATAGTCGTATTATTTATGTAGTTTACGTACAAAATATTAGTATATAATAACGTTCTAAACAGTTAATACTGCATATATAAGATAATTAGTTATAACACATTCCGTTTAATTTTTTACACTACCCAACTCACTTATTGTGGTACGTTTAAAAATACGTCGTAAGTACGTTTCAATTCCTTTCGGTTCTTGTTTATAAAATCACTTTACTGGTGCTGGATGGTAATTTTTTATAATGTAAAATTAATATTCTAATCACCACGTGATAAAAAGCATCATTAATTCAGATGATATACGTACAAAAGCGTGATTTAGTTTTTATTAAAATCAATCAAGTAGGTACCTCACAATCAAGAAAATTGACATGTGAGCGTCGATATTATCAAGTTACGTACACGAGCGTACTAGTGTATTTTTTCTAAATTGGCAAAGGACCACAACAAATATGGCCGAATTCAAACTTGATAACTAGTGATAGTCTTTTACCAAAGTGACAAGTAAGAAAAAATATAATAGTTTACGATATAGTAAATGAAAAAGAATATACTGCTATATAAATAAACGTAGACAAAGCAAGTAAAGGTTAGTCATTAAAAATGGTTTATGAGAAAGAAAAATGTAGTTCTTTATTTTCACAATGAAACAATGAAATTAAAATTACACTCGAAATACTACAAGTTAATTGAAGAAACACTATTTACTTATAAGTTATTAGTAAATAGTGTTATAAAAACCAATAAAATTGGAAGTTTAAATAATAGGTCATTCAAACAAAAGAAATCGGCAAGAAACTCGCCGCCACTCTTTTTATCTCTATTATATACGGTGTTGCAAGACTCGGTAGGGAAATCGGAATATCCAAAACTAAAAGAGGTCATCTTCATATCTTGCTTAGACGTTATATAGCTGGAGTATTTCACCTTCTTCAAATGAAGCCTGTGTACGAAAAAAAAGGGCCAATAACAAATCTCAAACTTCGATCATTCGCAATCCAAATATTAATCTTCAAGTTGATTTATTTGTGTACCCTTTTCATTATACAAGTGTGCATGCAAAACCCACTCAAAGTTCACCTATCGAATGCTTCTTCGGAAAAAATATAAGTGTTCAGTTCTTCATTTTCAAAACCGGTTCCTCGACCGTAACGCCCGCGAGTCTACCTCGTCGTGATAAAGAGCAAATAGGGTAAAAAAAATATTGAATTGTTAATGATCATACTTATAAGAAAATGTCAAGTGAGCAAAAACGAAGACCGGATTCAATGAAATCAGTAAAAACTAAGACGAGATAATGGATCAATAGATCGGTTATTATAACTCAAATTGTATGATTATAATGGTGTTCATGAAAATTAATAAGCTTTGTGTAAAAAATATTCTTTATTGATTCAACTTTTTTTAAGATACGATTCTAAATTCTACAGAGTGTATTTATTGGAGACTGTACTCCGAACCGTTTGTTGCCTTTATATTAAAGATAAGACTGTCTGGGTAATGTGTGCAGTTTCATAACTTTTAACGGTTCGAAAGGGAAAATGTAACGATTAGGTGAATAATTTTAATTCCGACCCGACTTTTGCTTTAGGCCCACCATATTTCGTTTATTTTTTAGACTGCACGTCCAAGAGTCTTAACTGATTTTGATAAAAAGTACTAGGTACTTACTTTTTATCAAAATCGGTTGACCT